TAAAGATTTACACCCTCGGAAACCCTGTACAGGGTCGCTATGGGTCGGAACCGACTCGATGGCACATAACAACAACAATCCTGATATAAAGTTTTCCATCATCCCAAAGAGTTCCCTCATGCCTCTTTATAGTCAATCCTGTACCCCTATCTCTGGCTCCTGGTAGTCACTGCTCTGTTTCCTGCAACTAAAGTTTTGCATTTTCTAGAATTCCATATAGATAGAATCGTGTAAGATACAGAATTTTGTCTCTGACTTCTTTCACTTAGTAAAATGTTTTAGAGATTAATCTATGTTATTACATGCATTGGTAGTTAATTTCTTTTTATTGCTGAGTGGTATTTTACAGTATGACTTTATGATAATTTTTTTAACCATTCAACAGTTGGTGGACATTTAGGTTGTTTTCAGTTGGGATATAATGAATAAAGCTGCTATGAATAATATAGTACAAATCAATATGTGAAGGTGTTTTTATTTCTCTTGGATACATATCTAGATTTAAGATAATTGAATCTTTAAGTAATTTATGTTTAACTTTATTTATTTATTTATTTTTAATATCTAACAATTTTCCAAAGTGGTTAAACCATTTGGCAGTCCCAGCAATGTATGAAAGTTCCAGTTTTTCCAAAAGGAACAAGTTTATCAACATTTTGCTATTCTAGTGGGCAAGTAGTCAAAGTTCATTGTGATTTTCATTCACATTTCCTTAATGACTAGTGATATTTAGAATATTATTCAGTAATATATCTAATGAACATCACATTACTTTGTAAAATGTCTGATGAAATATTTGGCCTTTGGTAGTTTCCTCTGAAATATGCATAGATATTGTACTAAGCCAAAAACTCTGCAGATCTCAGGAACTCACTCTGGTATCTTCTTTTTTTTTTTTTTTTCTTAAATGTTTTATTGTGAATTATGTGATAGTTTACATGGGAGAACATTAGTTATACATTCATTTCTGGTATCCTCTTTCTGGTATTCTGTCCCTCATTCTAGACATCTTGGTCCTTCAAAACTTCTTTGTCTCCTCAACTCAGCAAGGCCACTAGTCTCTGCTTGGATTCCCCTCCCTCACTTGAAGCCTATAAACTGCCTTCAGGAGTAAGCTTGGACAATTTTAGGGCTCACCACTTTCTTTCAGGGATCACAGTCCTGTGAACTTATGCAAATTCAGTTGCTATTAGTCTACCTTGGACAGAAGAAGTTCTGTCTGTTTTTGTCTTTTTTTTTTATGAAAGTAAATATAAATAACTTTCAGTTAAGGAAGAGAATCACATAAGATCTTCCTATTTATAAAGTAGACATAATTGTTGCAATTATGAAAATGTGAATAGTTATAGACTCATCATTGTTTTGTATAGTCTCAGGAACACAAAACATTTAACTACATAAAAAACAAAGAATTAAAGGTATTTGTATGCTCATTTGTTTTGTCAATGCTGTGAGTAAAGAAATTCTTAGATCTCTATAGTTATATTTTGATATCACAAAATAAAATGTCTCATTGATACATTTCAAAACCTTCTAAAAATGCTTAAATTATAGATTTATGGTTATACTTTAAAATTCTGCTATAAGTAGAATTTATGTCATTTTCCCACAATTGAGTATACTTTTTCTGCCAGAAATAAAGAGCTTGCTACCTGTAAGCAACCCAGAAATTCGAAGCTATTTTCCAGAAAGCTGGTTATGGGAAGTTCATCATGTACCCAAAAGGTATTGTACTTCTTTGACATTCCTATGAAAAATGTGGAAAAGTACAAATAATATGGCCCCAAATCTGGAAATTACCCAAATCCTAGTAGCTTCTTTGAGAGTATTGATTATACACTGCGCTGTGGGTTAATGCATTGGACTGCAAGGTCGGCTTAAACCACAAGGTCATCAGTTCAAGCTCATCACTTAGAAACCCTATACAGGGTTACTCAGAGGGTTACTCTGAGTAGAAACTGACTCAACAGCACTTAACAACAACAACAACCATTTGGTCAAATTGTTTATTTGTTTTCTTTAGTAATTCATTCCAGGGCAGGATTCACTATTGGTAAAGAAGGGGCCTGGAGTCCTGGTGTGGCGCTGTGGGCTAATGTGCTATAATGAAAAGTCGGCTTGAACTGCAAGGTCGTTGGTTCAAGTTCACCAACCACTCCTTGGAAACCCTATACAGGGTCACTATGGGTTGGAACAGACTCGATGTCACTTAACAACAACAAAAGAAAGGTCCTACTTTATTTCATTTCATTTCACTTCAATAAGCATTTATTGAGCAAACCTATCTGTATGTTATACCCTATATCAAACACTTATTTCATGCTAAAATATCTACTCTATAAAATAAACATTAACAGAAGGCTTGTTTCTTGTCAAAGTCCTTCACTCAACACATTGCTATGGAATGCTTACTCTGTAGCAGACAGTGGACATAGTGATGAACAATAATGAGTCCCTTTGTACGTGGCTCAACGCACTGACTTTCTAACGAGCACTCATGGAAGGCAGTGAGTCCAGAGCTTTGCAATAACCTCCTTGCTTCTACCCTTGCCCTTCTCCAATTCTTCCTGGACCACGTTGTTACATTTCATCGGACATTTCCCCTCAGTTAGCACTTCCTCCTTAAGCCTTCCCTGGCTTATTCTTACAACATTCATGACCCTCACCTCCACTCATGAGTGCATTAATTATACCTTCCAATAGCACCCTATTCATAGCCCTGTTACATTATCACACAGTGTTACAATGGCCTGCTTGCTCTCTGTCTTCTAGATTAAGTTGTAAATATTTGATTGTTGTTGTTAAGTGCCATCAAGTCAGTTCCAACTCATAGCAACCCTGTGTAGGGTTTCTGAGGAGCAGCTGGTGAGCTTGAACCACTGGCCTTGCAGTTCAAATGGACTGCATGCATGAACCGGCAGTGCCACACCAGGACACCAAACACTCCATAGGCAAGGACTAAATTCAGATTACTATTTTACATCCAGGACCTGGCATTATTGTGACGTGCCATCAAGTCGGTTCCCACTGATAAGAGTTTAGAGTTTAGAGATTCGAAGGAGGAGCTGGTGGGTTTGAACTGTGGACCTTATGGGTCACAGTCCAGTGCTGATCCTACAGCACCACACCAGGAGTCTGGACCTGGCTGGCAGAGCATCTGGCTTATGGAGGAACTAAAATAAACATGTTGAATGAATGCACTGCTACTAAATTGTTTTCAAGGCTTATTGGTACAGATATTACAGTGAATTGGTACAGATATTACAATTTATTTACCTATTTCTTCCACCGAACTGCAAGCTGCTTGGGAGCAGGACGATATATGCTATAAGTGCTGTATACCCAAGTACTTAGTGTTATTTCTAAGTTGGTGAATGAAATAAATGACTATAAAAGCTTATTTTTAGTTACAATCTTTTATAGAGACTGTTACAAGCAATGGTAAGATGTGTTTTTTAACAACATAATGCACAATGGACATCTTTTGTTCTATGTGCTTCACATTTTGATTTGCAATGTTTCAAAGGCATCATGCTAAATATGAATTCTTAGCAAGCAGGTGTAATGTCTAAAAACACAGAACTGAATATATTTTTCTTCCTTGCTTTTTCCTTAATATCAGATTTTACTTTGTCTTTTTGTGATTTCCTTCTTTCTTCTACAAGTTGTTGTTGCTGTTAAGTACCATTGAGTCAGTTCAGACTCATTTACATAGTTTATGAGGAGCATCTAAAAAGAAGTAAGAAGTGAAAATTCTTTTAATGGATGCTTCTGTCCGTTTGGGTTAATCAATATTCCACTAAGTTTGAATATCAACATTTTCACTTTCAGAAAACAGTTGCAGTTTACGCTACCTGATTCTCTAACTACCTGGGAAATTCAAGGTGTTGGCATTTCAAATAGTGGTAAGTTTGACTTACATATTCATCTAAAGAGTGATTTGCTTAGCAAGATGTTCTTCTTTGTAATTAGGTATTTAGTTATTTTACCCAGGAATTAAATTGCATTGATTTAATAAATAATCTTCTTTATGTGTTATAAAAAGATAGTCATTCATATGCCATATACTTGAGCATATCTATTTCTTTGTTTGCTCTTTTATCAGTCATTACTTTCTAAATGCTGACGTCAAATGCCCATTTTTCTCAGTGATTATGAGGAGCTTGGCTATGTTATTGTAATTGTTAAGTGTCGTTGAGTCGATTCTGACCCATAGTGACCCTGTATAGGGTTTCCAAGAAGCAGCTGGTGAGCTTGAACCACCAACCTTGCAGTTCAAACGACTTTGCAGTCTGGCGCATTAACCCACAGCGCCACGCTTGGGTATAGGTTAATGTAAATGTATGACTTCTTCCCCTGGCTGGTGTCCTTATTATTTTTTTTTATTGTGGTAAAATATATGTTACATAAAATTTGCAATTTTAACCGTTTTTAAGTAAATGAGGGGGATTTAAAAACTTTGTGGAAGGATTCCATAATCTTATCATTCTATTTTTCTATTTGAACCCCCCTTGTATGATTCATGTCAATAATTATATTCACAGTGTTGTGCAACTACCACCAATATTTGTCTCCAAAATTTTTCTACACTCCAAACAGAAACTCTAACTCCTTTTTCCCTCAGCCCATGGCAACTATCATTCAATGATCTGTCTTTATGCATTTGCCTACTCTAGATATTTACTATAAGTGGGATCATATAATCTTGTCCTTTTTTTTGTTTGGCTTATTTCACTAAGCATGTGTTTAGGTTTCACTCACATTGCAGCATATATTCAAAGTTCATTCCTTTTTAGCGGCAGAATAATGTTTCATTGCATGTAGCTATCGTATTTTGTTTATTCATTCATCTGTTGATAGACATTTGAGCTTTTTCCTTCTTTTGGCTGTTGTGTATGAAGTTACAATGGACATTGGTGTCCATGTATCTATGTGAGTCCCTGCTTTCAGTTCTGTTGGGTGCGTATACAAAAGTGGAATTGAATTGCTGGGTCATGTGATAATTCTCCCATCACTCATCTGTCATTTTGTTATACTGTGATGGCTTGCATATTGCTGTGATGCTGGAAGCTATGCCACTGATATTTTAAATACCAAAAGGGTCACACCTGGAAGACAGGTCTCAACTGAGCTTACAGACTACAAAAGACTAGGAAGAAGGAGAGGAAGACTTCTTCTGAATGTTTAGCCACTGAAAACCTTGTGAATGAATATAAGACCATAGGTGGAATCCCAATCTCATTTTGAGGTGGGTGGGAAACTTCCACTGAAAGGACAAGCAGACCAGCCTGGAATGGCTAGAAGAACAGAAGATACTTCTTGAAAGAAAGACCAGCAGGAAAAATAAAAAACAGTAACAGCAGTATGATTGACTACTACAAGAACAAGCAAATCGTTCACCCATGAGTCATCAAGGCAAGTGCTCAGTTCCCTTCAGGGCAAACCCCCTTCCAAGACTAACACTCAGAGGGAATACACCAGCAGGCATGTGGTGTTGCTGCTGAGCACATTGGTCACCGATAAGGGGAAGTGGGAGAAAAACAGCAATGATGTTGTGAGCTAAGTGTGACCACATTCAATAGACTCCTGTCATACTGGGTTGAGACATGGTTGGCCAACAGTATGGCAAGACCTAGGGACTCCTGGGCCCAGGGACAGGGACATGGCCACAGAGGATTAGAGTGGAAAGTGAAGTGTCTGGCTGATATGAAGTGAGGTGAGATGCACAGGAACACCTATACTTACAGATAGTACACATTTGACCTGGCTTTGATGGCTGGATGACCAGAACTCGATTCGAGGAAGAAAGAAGAGGGAAAAAAAAGAGTAATCTGTTACAATCTGATGAACTTGACCTATGCTTGTGGATGTAGTAGCTCAAAAGAGGAAACGAATCTTTATAACAAGTATCATTCCCACCTCCTTGGTACACAAGGTTGACAGGAATGGGCAATTTAGACACTGGCTACCCAAAATGAGGGGCACTACAAAGGCACAAAGTGACTGGCTTACAAGCTTTCAAGAGGGAGCCTAGTTTCAGAGGGTATGGGGGAAGGTTTATAACCTGTCTGTACAGGGTTGGTAAAAGGAAATGGGGATAAGACTCTTGTGGTTCGATAGTGAATAATTGCTATCAGGTCTGACTGTGAGTGTTGCAAATGTAAAGGTAGACGTTTTGTAACAAAAGGAGGGGAGTGGCTGATCTTGCAGTCCAACAGCAAGATCCTGGGACCCTGGGACCATCAAGGGAGAAGAGTGGCGTGCAGCACCCTATCCAGAGAAGCAGCGACACAAGAGATGGAGGCAGAGATGATAATGCGAAGAGATGGAGCAGCTGGGGAATCAAGACCCAGAGAGGGAGAGGGGCTGTGTGCTGACGGCCAGGGGGCAGGCTTGCAAGTGTGCCCTCTGGCTGTTTGATGATGCATGAAGGGAATTGTAACCATTGCAATGAAATGAAATAAGATAGGATGAATGTAAAGCTAATGTTCTCCCATGTAAACTATCACATAATTCACAATTTAAAAAACCTTATGAATAGCATGAAACACTGTCAGATACCACAATAATATTAAATAGTGAACCACTGTGAATAGTACCAAAATATTGTCAGATCTAGTGCCAGCAGAAGAGTCCCTCAGGTGGAAGGCACTCAAAATACAGCTGGGGAAGAGCTGCCTCCTCAAAGTAGAATTGACTCTAATGACACAAATGGAGTGAAGCTTTTGGGACCTTCATTTGCTGATGGGGAACAACTCAAAATGAGAAACAGCTGGAAACATCCATTAATAATCAGAACATGGAATATGAAGTATGAATCTAGGAAAATTAGAAGTTGGCAAAAATGAAATGGAACACATAAACATTGATAACCTAGGCATTAATGAGCTGAAAGGATCTCTGGTAGTGTAGTGGTTATGAATCGTGCTACTAACCTCAGGGTCAGCAGTTCGAAACTACCAGCTATTCCATGGGAGAAAGAGGAGGCTTTCTGCTCCTGTAAAGATTTACAGCCTCAGAAACCCTGTACAGGGTACCATGAGTTGGAACCAACTCCATGGCACATAATAACGACAACAAGTGAGCTGAAATGGGCAGGTATTGGCCATTTTGAATCTGACAATCATATGGTTTACCATGCTGGGAATGACAAATTGAGGAGGAAAACGTCACATTCATCATCAAAAAGAACATTTTAAGATTTATCTAGAAGTGTAATGCTGTCTGTAATAGGATAATATCCATTGTTGTTGTTGTTAAGTGCCGTTGAGTCGGTTCCGACTCATAGCAACCCTGTACAGGGTTTCTGAGGCTGTAAATCTTTATAGGAGCAGAAAACCTCATCTTTCTCCCATGGAGCAGCTGGTAGTTTCGAACTACTGACCTTAAGGTTTGCAGCCCAATTCATAACCACTACACTACCAGGGAATACCCCTATTACTCCAATTTATGTGCCAACACTAAAGCCACTGATGATGAAATGCAGAATT